ACTTCAAAGAAGCCACGTGACAAGCTTCACTGGGTCAGTCTACTGAGGAAGACCAGAGTGACTGGTTGAAAGCTCTAGGTGAGAGAATTTTTGTGTTGGATCAAAAGTTTTAACTTTAAACAAAATAAAGTTGACATCATTCTGTGCAGGGTTCAAGGTAAACAAAGAACTGTAGAGCATTGATTAGAATTTCATGATCACAGTACCTTGGAATCTGTAATGATAATTGTTCCTTCATATTTTGGAATCCCCATTTCTGCTCTCTGAAGTCCTGTTGGTATCAAGGTCTAGGAAAAATCTCAAGTGTACCATCTTATTATCCTGTTGTCTAGACCCCAGTGGGTATCCTGAGCCGTAACGGCCCCACAGACTTGAACCTGACTGCCCAGGCTGGGCAGGTGTTGGACGTCGTGGTGGAGAACCAAGGTCGTATCAACTTCGGCAGGTACATCAACGACTCTAAGGTGAGTCAGGATTCATATCTAAGCCTTCCATTCAGCAGAAGGAAGACAGTTCTCTCTCAATCTTTCAGCTGATTCCTCAGCCTTCTGTGTTTACTTTCAATTGATAGTCTGACTTTTGACATATTTGTTTGTTTGTGTCTTTGTGTATCCTCGAATTGCTCTATTTGCCATTGGGCCATTTTTCATATATGGTGAGCTGTTGTGTTCAATGACAAGTTAAGATTTGAATTGTGTTATCAATTGTTGATGGGATTTTCATGCTAAGTGGGACTCTTAATGATATTGTTTTCTGTTCTTACATAAAACTCTACTGTTCACTAATAGACACTGATATGACAATGTAAGAAAAAGACCAGTGTTGAAAATGTCTTGTCACCAACAGGGCATCATCTCCAACGTCACCCTTGGCAACGACACACTGCGTTCCTGGTCCATCTACTCTTTAGACATCGACGGTGCCCTCCCCACCCTGTTCTCACCACCAGCTAACCCAGCTGTCCATATCAACGGTCAACTACCAGCTCTGCCTACGAGTAAGATTTTTTCAAGTCATGTTATTTTGTCGTATAAAAGAAAAAAAGATTGTAATGTAAGGTAGTCACAACAGCATACAACAATTTATAGACAGGCCCAATACTATGCTCTCCCCACCCTGTTCTCACCACAAACCAACCCAGCTGTCCATATCAACGGTCGTCTTCCAGCTCTGTCTTCTGGTAAGATAGATGTTTTTTATTTTGCTTTGGTAATACTGATTTTAGAATGTTTAGCTGTTGTATTCTTTGATGTGATAAGTTTTTATGATGTATTTTGTCGCTAATGATACAGCTATATGTAGGATTTTATGCTATCTATTTGTAATAACTGGGCGCAAGTTGTAAAATATTTCATGCACTTAAGACATCACTCACTCACTGCGTCGAGCTTCCCTCGGTGCCAATGATAGCTCTCCATCTCTTCCTATCCTTCATTACTACCATCAGGTTTTTCCTGTCGAGCTGGGTGTCGTCCATTAATTGATTTATGTAGTTTCTTGCTGGACGACCACGACTTCTTTTTCCATGTGAGGGCTCCCACAGTATTAACTGGTTTATGATTTAAGACATGCCAGTTAATATTCAATATACTCTGAATCTGTAGGGCTAATATCAATTGGGAGAATTTTACTATGGTCAATATTGACTGAAGGATGCCATAAAGATATCAAAACATAAGTAATGTACTAATAAGTAATACAAAAAAGTACTAAGTAACATCTTCCTTCCTGGATGCAGTACTGCAGCAGGACCTAGAGGGCGTCGATGGGCAGTTGACCAACCAGGAGAAGCGTAGCGCCCGACCGGTGCGATCGCGGGCCGGCCAGATGGTCCCGTCCTTCTACACGGGAACCTTCTCCATCCAGGGAGACCCACAGGACACCTTCCTCAACATGAAGGGATGGACTAAGGTAGGTCAAGCCTCTATAGCATGCCAAATACTGGGGGCCTTCAGGGTCTTTGGGAGCTTTTATGTGCTATTTTCTGATTGCATATAGACAACATAGCCGGCCTGGTTGAATTACCCCCGTAGAACTGGGCTAATCAGAAAACAGCCGAAGACCACCAAACCCCCAGTTCTATAAGCCTGCTACGGAGGCTAAGGTAGGTCCATGTATCATTAAGAAAACATCTAACAAACAAACAACTCTATGGCTCTCGCCCGCCCTTTTCGTCAGTAGTGTGACCAGGTAGGCTTGCCCTGGCAGGGAATGTTGTTCTACACAGGGACCTTCTTGATCTTAGGACACGTTCCTCAACATGAAAGGGGTGGACTAAGGTAGGTCTCTCAGCACGTCGGCAGAACGTACTGCACCACGAAACCTGTAATGTATTGTGCATAGCACTTCGGCAGAACGTCTCATATAAGGTTGTATTCGCGTATATAAGGTTAGCATCCCGTCTGTAGTTTGCAAATATTATGTCGGAAAAGATATTGTCTGCAATGGGCAAAATTCTGATGCAATGTTGACCAAACATCTAATGAAAACCATGAAAAATCAGGGTTTGGAACAGGTGCAGTACGTTCTGCTGATGTGTAGGTCTCTCAGCCTTCAACATCTTGTAATCTTTCTTCCTCTATTAGAAAACAACCATTTACATCTATTAACCAATCGATAAAAGGAACAACTAGGCAAAATTAAGAATTTTGTATTTGAAGTTTTTTGTTTCACATTTTTCAGGGCCAGGCATTCGTCAACGGGTTCAACCTGGGCCGCTATTGGCCAGTGGAGGGGCCGCAAATCACGCTGTACGTTCCAGCTAGCGTACTGAAATCCGACAACAACGTCACTCTGTTCGAACTGGAGGCATCGCCATGCCTCATGAGCCAAACTTCTGACGCAGACTGCACTGTAGAGTTTCAGGACCGTCCAATCATTAACGCGACTGTGTCCCACCCTCGTGGTGTAAAACATGACACTACCACCAGTGACTCGGTTTCCGTTGATCTAGATGGGTTCATTGCAGCAGTATCTTTTGTATTTGGTGTGGTGTTCTCTGTAGCATATCCTATCAGCACTGTACTCAACATTCTGTTCTCATAACTGCTAGGAGGAAATTAGACAGTCAAATTTTGAATATTAAAGCAACAATCAATTTGTTCAAAGTTAAAACTTTAGATCCAACCCAAAAAAGTTCTCCTATTTGACCAGTCACTCTGGTCTTCCTCAGTAGACTGACCAAGTGAGACTTGTCACATGGCTTCTTTGAAGTGTGATCTACATGTATTGTGTTGGATCTTAAGTTTTAACTTAAATGTATCTACCAACACAGATGAACTTTTATGATAACAATCAATTTGTTTTAGCTTAATGGAATGAAGATATTAGTTTTAAGGTCTGATGTAAAATGTCTTGACAAAACAAACATCGACAACAAAATTTACAACTGGTTTAAAAGTTCTATCTCATACTATTGAGCTAAATCAGAATAGTCAACTACATGTAGTTTAGATGTATGTGACATGCGTTTTAGCACTAAAAATGAATTATGCCACGAGTGCCTTTCTTCTGATTAGATACACTTTTATACCATTTCTACAGGCTGTCAGGTTTTTTGTTGAAACAGATTTTTTCGTGAACAGAAGAAAAAATAAAAAAAAATGTGTATGTATGAGAGAGTTCATTTATGTTAGGAGCTTGAATTCAAAGCAGCTTATTGTACATTTTCCGTAAGTTGGACACTATTAGACAGTTAAGTATAACTTTTCTCTCTTTCTTTGTTACTAAGTTATAGGTTAAAGAGTAGTGAAACCATGTATGCTGTACTAGAGAGGCATCAAGTCTATGCTGCTTTAAGTCTTAGATCATACAGACTAGTAAAGGATATTCTTTTGGTGCTGGACACACTATCTTAAGAAATGCTTAAAATAAGACGAAAATTATACTGTATGATTTTTCTGGTGAAGGGTGTAAGCCTTAAATTTTGCCTGTGTGTGTTTGTTATCTGAGTAGATGTCTGCATTTATGTGGACTGATATGGACTAGTAATTACAGAGGGAATATATGCAATGTTGATTGTTGCAATGCAATATAATCATGAATAAAATATGGATATGGTACTGCTTTTGAGTTCTTCTACAAAACATTCTTTAAAATTCTTACCAGTCTGAGAGTTCGGGGACCTCATACCGCCATTAAATATTTACAGCTTGTGTGAACTTAATGCAAATGGCCTCGTAATTTTATGCATAATTTATGCATGGTGATGTTCACCTTTATCTAACTTCAACTTTAACATGTAGTTTCCAAATGTGTCAGAAAACAAGTACCGTCGGCAACAGGCAAAATTCTGCTGCAATGTTGACCAAAAATCCAACAAAAATCGTGCAAAATGGAGGTTTCGCGCAGGCGCCGTAGCAGGCTTCGTGAGACGGCTGGAAAGAGTAGAAATCAGCCAAATCACGTGAAAAGGGAGTTGGTCCGCTGGAAGGAACAGTTTGCCGCTATCTCTCTCTATTTGGCCGATTTCTACTCTCTCCAGCCGCCTCCCGAAGCCTGGTAGAGGCTACAGGCGCAGTACGTTCTGCTGACGTGCCCGTCTTCCCACGGCCCTAACTTCTATCGCGTGTTGATTCAGGTTTTATCGTCTGATAATTGTACCGAAATATTCCAACACCTTGCCCTTAAGGACCCCATAGACAATATTCTATTGTCCTCGGAGCTTCTGCGTCTACCCCCACTGGCGCACACACTAGCTAGCAGACAAGTGCACGCCCACTTGAAATGTCAAACCATTTCGCCAATTCTAACACTAAGACGAGCCTATCTAGAGCCTTATCTACTCTAAGATGAACATAGACCCGATTCTGTATCTTATAAATATCGCACAGTTTAATTATAATCACTTAACTGGGTAGTTTTGATCCACTATTAGAGAATGTTTCATACGTGACGTTTGCTATGTCAATGACCAATTTCATTTGCTTGAATGATCCTATAATTATACAATAAATAAGTCTACACAGAGCTCGAGGATGACACTAGTATTACACCACATTACCCACAAACGCTGTTCCATTGTTACTCTTGTCTTGGCGTCTACCCCGACCCGTCCGACGAAGCCACTCGAAGTTCAAACCAAGAGTAAGACGGCTACGGAAAGTGTGATCACCGCCGTGTCGTAAGTTTAAGGAGACGGAGAAAGGTTTCCTTGTGGAAAGACGCAGAGGTTAGGAAGCGGTTGTGACGTCCTTCATCCAGTTTTTCGGCTGTACGTAGAAAGGTGCAACATGCGCTTCAGGTGAGATCAACTTATTTCATCTTCCAACATTTCATGACTAGACATGGTGACAGCACACTCAAGTTATCTCAACTTATTTTATACCGCCACCAACGCAGAGGACGAATACAGGACTAGGACAATACTAGCATTTGAGCACTTTCCTAAGGGCTCGGTGGCATGTCAGGACTCGAACCCGGGACCTCTTGGTTCCGAGCCAAGCACTGCATCTCCTTCGGCCATGGAAGCCATACGCCCCGTCAGGCCCTAGTCGACGCCCTGGCTCTAATTATCTCCTCGAAAGATAAAGTGTTTGGGCGGATACTTTTGGTAGCGGACATTAGGTAGCCTCTTCCGGCGGCTGGAAAGAGTAGAAATTGGCCAAATAGAGAGATAACATGTCTGGGGAGTTGGTCCGGTGGACAGAACTGTTTGCCGTACCCAGGTGCCTCCCGAAGCCTGGTAGAGGCTAGACGTTAACAAGGGTTTCTCCCCTCAAAAAAATCTAATATCGCTTATGAGACGCCAGCGTCTGGCACCCAGGCAAGATAAACTAGGCTTCTAGCGAGAAGCAGTTGTTTTTCCACCATTTCTCTTGTGCACCTACCCTAGCCTAGCCTCCTATGCAGGCTCCGAGCGGGTGGGTGTTTTGATTCTGCGTTTTGTAGAGTTTTTAACGCGTTCTTTTAATTGCCGGACATCCTACAACCGGCCACATAGGCGGATGGAAACCTTCTGTCGCGGCTGGTTGTAGGATGGCCGGCAATTAAAAGAACGCGTTAAAAACTCTACAAAACGCACCCGTCCGGAGCCTGCACAGGAGGCTACCCTAGCTTGGGTATGGCCCGGTCAAGCCCTGTCACAAATTCACGAATTTGGCCCCCCGAACACAGTGTCCCGAACGCTAGCCGAACGCCCGCCAACTATGTTTAGGGGTGGGTCGGCTGGTGTTCGGCTGGGTCGGCTACAGTTCGGCGAATTCGGCTGCGGCGGCCAGCCGAATGTTTCAAAATGTTTCAAACATTCTTGAGGCGTTCGGGAGGTTAGATCATAGTTAACAGCCTCATTTTGTCAGCAACCGGGCATTCCCGCCTCTGCATTTAAGTTTAATAGCCGTTCTGATGAGATATGGCATCGACCATTTCAAAAGGTGACGACCGTTTACGAGACGGAAATTAGCGCCCTTCCCGCACTGATTTTGAGTACATAGTTCGGGTACATAGAAAAGGGGGCGGGGCTCTCAATGTTCTATCAGGAACAGTCTAGTGCAGTGAAGCCCGACTAATAAGCATGTAACTGTTAAGTTCGTAACGTTAGAGGGTTTGAAAAGTACATATTCAGGACTGTATCTACATGTAAATGTAAATGTACTTCATGAAATTAGTTAACGGCCTAAAGTCTGTATATCTAGGACTTTTAAGTCCTTAAAAGCCCTTAGACTGAATGATATCCATCAAACGGTGTGAGTATGAAATTCACATCATTTACCACCACGCCACGTCGGTGAAGGTTAGACATCCAGGTAATGAGATACACCAAAAACAGTTACTCAAGCAACTGAATATGATTTTTGAAACGGTCAGACGTTTCAGGCAGCATCCACTACCTTTCGTCAGTGACACTGCAGAGTTGCACCACGCATTTTTGTGCGATGCAAAAACAAAGAAGCAAACAAACAGTGCTGTGTTATAAAGTTGTCTGTTGACTACTGTTGATGTGCCCCGTGGCATGTTTCCACATTGTCTTCACAAAACGCAGCGAAGCTCACGAAAAGGGTCAGAGTTGGTGTTACAGGCCGCAGGGCAGTCTCCGTGCTTTTGAATGAGCTCGTAACACGTGATCATCTCCAAGTAGATGTAAGGTGAACTCCATTAAGTTTTTGGATGCCAGGTTTATATGACCTGGTAGCGGATGCTAACTGAAACATCTGACCGTTTCCAAAATCATATCCAAATGCTTGAGTAACTGTTTTTTTTTTGCGTATCTTATTATGTTTACCGAATGTTTTTGCTCCGTTTCTTCTTCTTCTGTTCTTCTGTTCTTCTTCTTCTGTTCCAAACTCCAATTTCATAGTAGGCATTTAAACTCCGGTCTTTCACCACATACCAGTTGACCAGGGTAGTGGACCGAGTTGACCGAGTTGACCGAGTTGATCGAGTTGACCGAGTTGTTCGAGTTGACAAGGGCAGTGGACCGAGTTGACCAGGGTAGTGGACCGAGTTGACCGAGTTGACCGAGTTGACCGAGTTGACCGAGTTGACCGAGTTGACCGAGTTGACCGAGTTGATCGAGTTGATCGAGTTGACAAGGGCAGTGGACCGAGTTGACCGAGTTGACCGAGTTGACCGAGTTGATCGAGTTGACCGAGTTGATCGAGTTGACAAGGGCAGTGAACCGAGTTGACCGAGTTGACCGAGTTGACCGAGTTGAGCGAGTTGACCGAGTTGATCGAGTTGACCGAGTTGACCGAGTTGACCGAGTTGACCGAGTTGACCGAGTTGATCGAGTTGATCGAGTTGACCGAGTTGACCGAGTTGATCGAGTTGAACGAGCTGACCGAGTTGATCGAGTTGATCGAGTTGATCGAGTTGAACGAGCTGACCGAGTGGACCGAGTGGACCGAGTTGACCGAGTTGATCGAGTTGACCGAGTTCAACGAGCTGACCGAGTGGACCGAGTTGATCGAGTTGACCGAGTTGACCGAGTTGATCGAGTTGACCGAGTTGACCGAGTTGACAAGGGCAGTGAACCGAGTTGACCGAGTTGACCGAGTTGATCGAGTTGAGCGAGTTGACCGAGTTGACCGAGTTGATCGAGTTGACCGAGTTGACCGAGTTGACCGAGTTGACCGAGTTGACCAGGGTAGTGGACCGAGTTGACCAGTGTGAGTTGACCGAGTTGATCGAGTTGACCGAGTTGACCGAGTTGACCGAGTTGACCGAGTTGACCGAGTTGACCAGGGTAGTGGACCGAGTTGACCGAGTTGACCGAGTTGACCAGGGTAGTGGACCGAGTTGACCGAGTTGATCGAGTTGACCAGGGTAGTGGACCGAGTTGACCGAGTTGATCGAGTTGACCAGGGCAGTGGACCGAGTTGACCGAGTTGACCGAGTTGACCGAGTTGACCGAGTTGACCGAGTTGACCGGGTTGACCGAGTTGACCGAGTTGACCAGGGTAGTGGACCGAGTTGACCGAGTTGACCAGGGTAGTGGACCGAGTTGACCGAGTTGACCGAGGTGACCAGGGTAGTGGACCGAGTTGACCGAGTTGACCGAGTTGACCGAGTTGACCAGGTAGTGGACCGAGTTGACCGAGTTGACCGAGTTGACCGAG